ATCTAGTTACTGTTCCAAGTCACCAAAAGCATACATGAATGCAACTTTTAACGGCCTATTTTAAATCTCACGCATCTGAATATATCCAATATACATCTGAATATACACCATCTGTTTACATGAAGATACATGAAAGAAATCAACCACCACTGTAAGAGTGAATGCCTTTTTCAAATAGCAACAAGTATTTGCAGAAGTGACCAGGAGAATCTTATTAGAAGACTGATTAATACACACACACGGTATTCATATTCCTGTGCTAATGTTGAAAATGATTTCCTTTTATTTGATCAACATGATATCAAGTAATTGGCTTATGTGGGCTTTATTATGGGATAATTAGGTCCATAAACTGGAATATGCTGTCAATATGTCTATCAATGATTCTCTGGATCAACACATTATTCAAATGTATTTTTTTCTAAAACATTACACATAAAAATAGCGCATGTGTAATCTCTACACTGAGCAAGCATGATTCAGGGAATGCAATCATAAAGCACTTTTTTTCTCCCATTTATATTAATTGGGGTTAGTTTGTTTGTTTGTTTTCCTGTTTCTGGATTAAAAACCCAGTAATTCTGGTCACTGTTAAGTGACCTGAGTTCCTCCAGTGAGTAATTAAAAGGTTCAGTGTCATTTAATAGTCAAAACTTTGAACTTTTCCCCACTTTTTGACCATCTCTAGATTGGGAAACTTACAGCCAAGGAAAGGAGAATAGTCAGTTTCTTCTGTGTTTTTACACCTCCTTTCTCAGAGCTTCTGACACCTCCAGGGTTGCAACAGAGCAAGTGAGAATAGCTAAAGCAGGAGCAAAAGGTTCTCACTGGACAAGAACTCTCAAGAACTGGCATGGTACTCTGACTGTAGCAGGAGTAGTCAGCTGAACTTTCCATTTGTCCAGCTTCATCAGTTCTTTGGGGACCCACCCACCCATCCCACGACTGGGGATTTCTCACCTTCCTTTAACATGAGTAATGCACTCTCCTCTACCTCCTTCTTCCTTCTTCCAGGCATCTGACCAGACCTCTAGCTCTGTCTCTGGTAAGTTCTTTTCAGCCATGCAGGAAGCTTGCTTGCTCCTCCCCCGCAATCTCTCTCTTTCTGTTAGTCCTTTCAGGCTGCTATAACAAAGTACCACGGACTGGTTGGCTTATCAACATTATGTCATAGTTCTCGAGTTAGGGAATTCTAAGATCATGGCACTGGCAGATTTGGTGTGGTGGCTGATAAGGGCCCTCTCCCTGGTTCACAAAGGATACCTTCTCCCTGTGTCCTCACATGACGGAAGGACTAGAAGTCCTTTGGGGTCTCTTGTATAAAATCTCAGCCCATTCACGAGGGCTCCAGCTTCATGACCTGAGCATCTCCCTCCCAGCAGCCCCACCTCCGAATACCATTACATTGGGCATTAGGATTTCAACAACATATGAATTCTGGGGCGGGGGGGACACAAACATTTAGACCATAGTGATTTCTCTCCCTCTTCCCCTCTCTCTCTCTCCCTGCTTGGATAGAGCCCCTAGAAGGAAACTTTGCCATAGGCTACCCCAAACCACCACCTCTTCTTCGGCAATCTTATCCACAACTAGCCAGTCCGTGACTTGTCATTTCGATTTCTTAGGTAGAAAGGCAGACACCCAGTTCTTCCAAGGAGTTCTATTAAACCCCTTTTTCATTGGACTTGAGGCTTCCTCCTTGAGAAAAAACTGGGGCTTACAACACCATTAGCAGCTTTCTCCCCAAATCCTCTTTTTCCACTCTCCTAGTTCTCAGCTTCTCTAACCTCTCCTAGGCTACAACAGGGTCATCATCTCAAGATTTTATACCATCTTTTTCTTTTTTCCTCCGAAGTTCTACATACTGGTCCTAGTAGTAGCAATTGTATTTAAGCCTCAGCTGAAAATGAGACATCAATAGTGATACTTTAGCATTTTTACAGTATCTGGTTTTGATTTAAGTTGTCACTTATCTAAAATCAGAACTTAGCATAGCCTCTGAGTAACTATAGCTATATAATTTAGTATTTTATAATTGTGTTATAAATCAAAATTTTATTTATAATACTTTGAATATAATCATAATATGAAAAACCTAAATGGTAAGTAAAATGATTTTCAGAATACATAATAAAATTGATGAATTAAACAGAGATCTGTTCCTCACCTATTCATGCATTCATTTCCTCCCTTAGAAAAATAATGATTCAATGTCTGCTGGACAATAGTCTAATGATGGGCAAAGCAAGTAGGGCCATTCCTTCATGGAGTCTGCAAACTTATCTATTATAAAAAGAGTGTCTTTTATATTGCATAACTGTTAGGATGTTTGGCAAGAACTGACATAGTCTTACAGCACGGGCAGGAATGGAGAACAAATAGAGAAGAAATACAGCAACTGATGAACAAGACAGTAGATCGGTGAGAGCCCAAAACTGATCATAAATTGATGAAAAGAAACAGGAGGAACCCATGATGTACAGAGCCAATGCCAGGATGACTTAGTAAACACAAGAAATCATAATAAGGCATGTGGTTAGCGCGACTACTGGGGGAACAGTTGTCTTTGGATGAAGAGTTGTAATTCGAAGAAAGTTACGTAAACATATTTGTACCAAAATATTATTTTTTGATGAAAAAGACCTATTATCTCAGCAAGGAAAAAACTGTGGCTATCTGACAGGACATAATTGTGAATTTGTGCCCAACCACTGAATATTGCTTAGAAGTAAAATTGCCAGTGGTTATATTTTTTAAATATATAGTTTGTTGATTTTTGAGTTTAAGAGAATATAAGCCTTATGGTAATACAACTCCTATTCTGAGGGAAACGATGAATATGTTTACTTAATTATACATTTTCAACATTTTAGAACCAGCTGCCTATTTACAAAAAGGACATGTCAGTTTTTAAAATTGTCTACGATGCTGGGAAAAAAAATAAGGCAAAGAAAGCCAAAGGAAGATAAGGAGAGAAAATATGCAGACTAGTTAGTATACAAAAGGCATGCCTGTAAGTTCTTTATGATTTCAATACAAATTTGACTCTGAACTTACTAAAAGCCAAAGTAAAGAGGGAAGCAGGCTAGGTTATGAGATTCATTGTGTCCATCATTAAAAACTAAACAGTTGCTCAGGAAAAATGAGTTAAATCCATGGATCCTTTTCCAGAAGACACTTTCGTAATGAAATGAATGTCCACCATGAAGTTAGAGTAGACAGAGTTTTATGGAATTCTTCTATTTTCTTTCTTCCTTTCTCTCTCTCTCTCTCTCTCTTTCTCTCTCTTTAAATAACATCCCTGTGCTGGTTAGATCTAAGTTTTGGACAGACCCCTTGCCTTTCCCCTGCTACAGGGATCTGAACGCTTTGGGATGAGTTTTCCCAGGCTCTGAGTCAGCAGCCTGCGTGCTGGGTTCAGACAACCAACGGAACAACTGGTAGGAGGGCAGGAGGAAGGGAGAAGCCATGGTACTTCTTACTCTGTCTTCAGTAGTACCCCTGGCTGAGGTTACATCCCCACTGCCAGCCCAACCCCTGCATTTGTGTATGCAGAAAGTTCCAGCTTCCATCAAGTTACCCCAACTCCCCTTCTCCAGCGTAGGTTTAGTAATGGCTCCATTTTTTTGTTCATCTCTTGGCTACCTCAGTGTCCCCTGACTGGCCTCTCAGTTTTTCATCACTGATGGAATTATTTCCCTACTTTAAATGCCCTCTGCTTTAAATATTTAGGGAGTTTTCTTTTATGGTTGGATCCTGACGGATACAATCACTCATTATAAGACAATGCTATATCTTTCACTCAATTCACTGTAAGTAATTTTACATTGAGAAATACCATGGAAATTGTTAGTATCTGCATATGACACATCCAGAGACGCTTATGCAACAGTAAATAGCAGACATAGAAGGGTGTAGAAAACAAATTCCCACAAGTCATTCAGATGTGATATTCAGAAAGAGAATTATAATTTGCCAACATCAACACATGTGATATTTCAGCACACAGATTAAATGGTGCACCTGCAGTGGGCATGCTCCCTAGAAGATCCCTAGACATGCACATGTGCCAACATCTTGATGGTAATAAGTCAGTGTAACCCAGAAGGAATATCCTTATGACCTAGTATCCTTCTCTCTCATCTACCTACAATCAACAAACATGATTCACCTAGGATTATTCTTTATTGCCAGGTATGGAAGACATATGTGGAGGCTAATATCTAACCTTCCTCTTCCAGTTCCTCACTTCTCTAAATATGTTAACTAGGGAACTCTTTACAATTAAACATATATGCTAATGATATATCAAGCAACAAAATTTAAGTTACACAATAGCTATATGACATGAGTGGAGCTTTTCCCAAGAATTCAGAATTATTAAGGCCTGATAAAAAATATTTTCTTATCATTTAACTTATTAACAACACATTCTGGCTAGAGAGGTCATATGCAAACTTACCTTAAAGAGAGAGGTGACCTTTTAGAATTGCCTGATATATGGAATGCAATGTGTTTCAATAAAAATACTCAACTGGGAAACTCAGTGATGCAGGGGACCAAATACGAGCAGTGCTTGTCTTATCTCCTGTCAGTTATTTCAGTCCATAAAGCAAGTTTATTTTATTCTGATGTCATTAAAAATTTCAATCTTATGGCTAATGCCCTAGTTTTTATTACACACACATCCAGCAATCTTTGCATCCCAATTTGGCTTACCTGGGCTTTCCCAAGAGGGAGAAAATACACTGGCTGGAGTCTATTATCTCCACAGTAGTTACAGTTCTTATTATCAATTATTAAAGCAGCACCATAAATTTGCATTACAGTATCGTAAATCTGAAAACGTGCACCCCCTCTGTGAAGGGGTTGCTGGTTAGTTATGTTTCTCAGCTTGTAAGACTAACCTTAAACAATAGAAAAATCACAGTATGACATTCGCTGTAAGACATCTTTCCCAGAAGATGCATCCCACCAACATCCATTTCTTGCATACCTACCTGAAAGACTTCCTAATATCTTCTGCTTGGATTGTCTTGAGAATCTCTTGGTGTAACTGAAGATCAAGTGTTCCTGAAGACATAGCATTTGAAGAGCAGTTTTTATGTGTGTAATAGCCTATCAAAATTCCAGAAATAAATAAAATGCTTGCTGTGCAAAATAGCTTTAAAAGGCGGCAAAAGTTGCAGGGGTTGCTCTTTGGTGCAGATCTTGTATAATGGGTCACATAGTCAGACTCTTCTTGAAGTCGCTGAAACCTTCCTTTGGGTGAAGTTGCTGGTTGAATGGGATCAAGACTGAGGTCCGCAGTCTCTGAATTCTCCAGGTTCTGATTCTCAGCACTATCTAGCTGGAACTGGTCAAAACCAGGCTCCTCCAGTTCCTTTTCCATGTCCCACTCTAAGTCAAGGGCAGTGGCTTGGAGGTCATCATTGTCTAGGTACTGTGAATGTCCTGGGGCTCTTCGATCTGCATTGACCTTCTGATAGGCCATCTTTTTACCTGTGAAAATAAGAGCAGTATATTTTCTGAAAATAAATCAACAAAGAGAACCTCCAAGGTGAAAACAAAACAGTAATCTATATTAGCTGTTCATAAAATTTTAGTGATTTTAATCAGGGGAAATACTTCATTCCTATAGAAAATCATGTATTAATTATTTAATCTTATGTTTTGCTGTTGATGTTTACTATAGAAAAAAGACAAACAATAAATAAAAGTAGAAGGCACCTGATGCAAAAGCTATGAGAAGACATAAAATACACACACACAAACACGCACTATTCTTTTGAAGCTCAGAATTAAAGTCACAAATGCACAACTGCATTAAAGACAATGTATTACAATGAAAGCCAAGTTTAAGCTTATACATTTTCAAAATCACTTTTAAGAAAAACTGAGGACAGAAGCAATAAAGTGTGATTTGTTAAGTTAAGGGGGGAAAAAAAGACCCTGGGATCAGTTACATCACCAGAGCTAATTTTAAAAACACAAATTCAGGGTAAGAATGAGGACAACAAAATGAAGTAGCACCTCTATAGAAATCCAAGAAGCAAAATATGGTGTATTGCCTAGTCATGAGTTATCAGAATGACTGGAAAACTTTAAGGCTACCATAGAAAGCCAACATGTTTTATGGAATTAGTGACATGAATTGGCCTGGCTTGCTGAACTTTAAATAAAAGTTTGGGATGGCATCCATCCAAAGAGGGAAGCCTTTTGCCAGGATAGGAGAGTTTAGTTTCATAACCTTGCTACTGAGTGGCAGATGGAGGCTTTTCTCCCCTACACAGTTTTGGATGACAGTTTGTTGTATCCTGCAGAGCAGTATTAGGAAAACTGGACTAATTAACTACAAGTGGTCTTCAGTCTGTATTCAGTAACACACTGGTGTATTGTAGTTGCACATTAGGAGTATTTATACTTAAATTTACTGTGTATTAGATTTGTCATCCCAGCTGGATTCTAAGGTCCCTCACTACGTTTTACGATTCTTCTATGGACCCCACTGTGGTGAGTGAAAAACAGAGCTCAGCTGACAACTGATCTGCTAAGTGTCTTAGGGCGGGTTGTTAACAAGTGAACTCTAATGAAAAATATACGAAGACTTCATGAAAGGGAGTGGCGTTATGTACAGAATTATGGGTATATACAATTCCAATCCTGGCTGACAGAGGTCCATATAAATTAAAATGTCCTGAATGTTTAAGAGAGTTCAAGTACAATTAAATATTAAACTTTACAAAATAAAAATTCTAATTCTGACTAGATTTCTCATCTGCTACGATACCATTTTTGATTTATTCTTGTCCAGAGCTGATTCAATAAAGATGAGTACCTAATATATATCAGGTATGGGGATAGGCAATGAAAACAAAGATGAATGGGTCCCTATTCCTTAAGTAGGGAATGATTCAATAAGAGAGACAGACATTTGAACAAACAAGTATGTCACATAAAATATGCAAAGCACAAGGGAGACTCAGGGGTGACAGATTCTAGCAGAGAATATGGGAAATAATTCCCCACCCAAAGTTATTTCTGAGGTACTTCTGGAGAGAAAGGAGGAGTTAAACTAGGACACACCAGGGGTGTCAGAGGAGAACAGCCAGGCAGGGGGAAATGTATAAACACACGGAGGAATACAAGTGCACAGTGCATGGTACGTGGACCATTTGAAAAACCCAGACTGGTGTGTGAACCAGAGTTGGAGAAAAAGCTAGGAAAGGGTGACCGTAGGCAAAAGGCTTAACTTCTTTGCAACACAGCGTCTTCATTTGTGATATGGGCATGGTGATAATATAAACATCATAGTGCTGTTACTAGGAATAATTGAGACAGTGATCCTAAAACATCCATTGAGTGTCACATAGGCTATATAGGTTTGAAGGGATATTTCTGGTATTAGAGGAGAGAGGATTGTCAAGGATTGTTGGAAGAAATAAAATGAATTAAATAATGCAGAAGAAATTATATAATTCTGCAGCACATTGTGGAGAAGGGGAGCAGGTTGCATAATACACACACACGTACACTCACACACGTATATGATAGGTTTTTGCTTGTTTTTTTCGTTTTTTTTTTTTTTTTTTACAATTAATCTATATGTAGAGACTAAAATATTTTTTAAAAGTACCACATGACATAGCAACTCTTACCATGCAGATATTAGTTGGTACTACGTATTAGAACAGCCTCAGGAGTGACTCTGCAGACCCCTTTCGTCCCTCCCTCTTTTCCTTCCTCTTTTCCTTCCTCTCGTCCTCTCCCTTTTTTCTGCTTGGCCTGGTTTCCATGATGATTCAAGAATGTGCATTATTTGAATTCTGTCTTTGGTCACATCAAGACAAGCAGAGAAAAGAAGTGATATATGGAGTCAGTGATAATTGTTCAGACAGGTTAGGAGATGGTCGATTAACTGATAGAAGAAGAAGACTTTGAATCATACTTGGTTAAAACAACAACAAAAATAGTACAAGACAATACTAGAGAACAGGAAAAACCTGAAGGCAGTAGAAATAAAGTAACCTTTAAAATCCATGATTCTAACCTCTCTCATATTACAGAAGAGGAAGCTGATGTCCAAAGTTGAGTCATTCTTTAGGCTGAGAAAAGTGATGTCTGGGGACACATAAGGTGATGTGTTGTTTTATAAAAATATGAAATTAATAAGTTAGTCGTAACTTAATAAGTTGTGGGGTTAAATACCCCACAATCCATTTGTTTTAATGTACATTGCAAAATACTGCAATATCTTGGCAGTAGTCATTTTTTTTTCTTGTTTGGCTTAAATATCAATCAATTCCTATCTTGACATGATATTATGATATTTACTTCTCTAACTGTTCAGTTTATGCATTATTGATTTACTTAGACACTATCTCAACATAGTTTTCTAGACTTTTTCCTCCCATTTTAATGATCCAGAGTCTCTCTAAAGGTTTTGGGTTTTTTCTGGTTTTTGTTTTCAATTGAATTGTAGAGTGTGTTTTATGCTCAAGGAAGACTTGGCACACAGGAGTTACTACAGAAATCTGAAATCTCTAATTCTGACCTCTAATACAAACATTCAAAGTCATTTCTCTACAAATCATTTACAAACCAACTGCAGTGATGAGGAAGAGTTTTCATTTCTAGCCTGACAATAGGTATTCCATCATCTGTACATCAGCAATTTAACGCTTTTCAAACATCAGACAGAGCCATCAATTAGAATGTAATGTAGATACAGATATTAACTCCTCACCATGATGGATGTCTGCCTGACACCCTTACTACCACTTTTGGACTCATTACACATTTATAAATTTACACTAAATTCTATCTTCTAGGAGAGCAGTATCTGGGTAGATCAAGCCACTTGATGTAAAAATAAATTAAAAAAAAAAAACCAAAGGATTTTAGGAAAATTTCCAAGAAAATAAGTACGTGATGACATCTATAATGAAGCATTTAACCACTTATTTGATAAATTTGTATTAGAAATCCATTAGAAATTCATTTCTTTAAAATTATCTTGCCTTAAGGAAAATAGTGTAGCTTTTTACAAAAATATAAACCTCTGCCCTGATTTTGTTTCACTTAAGGTATTTAAAATGAACTCCTCAAAAATTAAACTGAGTAACAAACTATTAAATAAAACTAATAACATATTTAAAGTAAGCACCAATTATTTCATTTGTCCCACAAAGAATGTAGCTTTCTTTAAAAACCTACTCCCCATGAGGTCAAGTAAAGGAAATACCACACTTTTTTCAAGAGAACTTTCAAATTCCCACAACGGAAATTTTATATTATAAAAAGAAATCTTCAGCAAAATCAGCATGTCTTAGGTATGATTGCATAATTATGCCAAACTTTATATATTTTCTGTAACTGATGTACATGATTCATTTAATTTATGTTGTCATATTATTTATAGCTACCCTATATGAGTAATTTAAAAAATACATGTAGTAGATTTTGGAATCTACCACATGAGTGTTTCCCTCAAAAATATGTACTTAGGTGTAGACCAGTCATAGAAACTTGCTACATTTCTTAAAACAGAAATATTTGTAGCATCCGTACATTCTATATTATACTTATTTTTATAAAATGCAATTTTTATGAAAAGTACAATGCATTCCCCATGTTTTCAACATATCTTATTTGCTTAGGTGAGATCCTTTCCCACCCAGGCCCACAATGAAGGCTAAATTGTTATTAAGATTCAATATACTCAAAAGTTTATCATTTATATACACTTATTCTTTTCTAAGGAAAAGAAAGCAAATATAAGATGAACTAAAAGGTATTTCTTCTATACTATGACAAGCTTAGATCAATAAAAAATGAAGTTGTATTTTTACTAAGCATATGGGTAGTTTAAAATAAATTGATGCTTCCGAATGCTTTGTTTCACACATTTTTACTGGCTGAAACTAAGTAAATTATGTAGAAATAAAAGATGAATACAGAAATAGGCTGAAATTTCAATATATAAAATACAGTCTCTGGATGCTGCAAATCTAACTTAACACAACAGCTGGCAAATATTTTAGATGATAAATACATGTTAAACAAAAGTTTCATTTTAATAAGTTGTATATTACAAATGTCACTTAGAAATATGATTATGACATGTTATCTTGCTCAGCAATCACAATGAGGGAATTTATTACATGAATGCCCTGACCTTATTGATCTCTAAATTAGCAGACTCTATAGTCAGACTACCTGGTTCAAGTCCTAGCTCTGCTATGTAATTTAGACCAGTCACTTAATCTTTTTATGCTTAAATCCCTTATTTGTACAGTGGAAATAATAAGAGCGCTGTATTTGCAGCATTACCAAGAGTAAATGATATAAATTATTAAAGATGCTTATAACAAGGTCTAACACGGTGTAAGTGATCCACTAACAAAGCACCACCCCAGAAATTCTATAGAGTTTAGGAAAATAGAAGGATTTGGCACTTACAATTTTAAAATACAGACTTAACGAAATTAAATTATGACCAG